CCCAAAACCCCAAAACCCCAAAACCCCAAAACCCCAAAACCCCTTTCTTAGGAATTATTATTGAATAAATTTTTAACTTCCTTGTACCTCTTCTCACTCTTCTTGATCAGCTCTTTAACATCTCTTTCATTCTCTTTATCTATAAAATCATCAAACCCAACCCATATTACCCACTTACCAGCTATATCCTCCTGACTGCCATTCGCCATCTCATTATACTCAATCGGAAAGTCTGTATCATAGAGATCATAGAAGTCATCAATGTCTTGAGTCTGTCTCATCATTACATTGATCTTTAGATTCTTCTTCTTCTCTTCTCTCTTTTCTTCTTCTTTCCTTTCTTCTTTAGAGAGATTATCTTGGATAACTTGTTGCTGCTTCTCTTCTTCACCATCTTTCTTCTTAGTTGGGTCACGAATGTAGATTTTATTCTGAGGAATTCAATTCCAAATGTTCTGGTTGAACTGAGTCTCAACGTCTTTACCAGGTAAGTGCTGAACCTTTCGGACAATACCAGGCGGCCTGTATAGTTCTAACTGCTTCTTTTTCTCATTTTGGGGCAGGTCTCTTATAAGCATTCCTCCAACCCTGGAGAGGGGAGAGGTCCCAAAAGCCATCAGATTTTCATCTGATTTTCCTCTAAAGTGGGTCTTCTTAAATATGGTGTTCATTTCATATCTAAACAACACAAAATCATCATAAGAGAGATCACTGATATTATACTCCTCTTCAGTCTTATTTGCACAGTAAAACATCCTCTATATTAAGAGTTCTAGGAAGGATTTCCTTGTAAAAGTTAGGCTTGGACTTGCAAGCTTCATAAAATTCACTATAAGTAATGAGCTCATCACCGTCATCCATCTTATTGGGGTCGTTCTTTCTCCGTATAACTTGGATAATATAGTGAAACTTTGTCTCAGCCTTCTTATCAGCAATGCTCTGCAACAGCAGCTGAGAGTTTAAGTTTATCTGAGAACACTCTCTGCAGAATATGCGCTGAAGTCTCTGGATCATCAGAAGGATCTCATCTGGCCTCATTCAGTGATCTCCGTCTTCATCTCAGAAGTTGAAGATTATCCTTAACTTGTCATTGTATTTAGAGATGACTCTTGAGAGTAAAGCCAGGGCTATGAGGAGGTCTAGGACTACCATTTCGTTCCCATTCTCATCAATCTCCCTCCCTTCATCTTTAAATTTAAGAGGTCTGAACCGTTGGAACAGGAGGTCGGTTAACTTCTCATCTGGAGGAGGGTGAAACACCTGATTCATAGCTTTCTTCAGTGTGTTCTTATCAACAGTTCCATTAATCAGCTTGTTTAACTTAGATAACTTTTTCGAAGTCAATTGCTTGAGGAAAGTCTCTATCTCCTTCTGAGGAGGAAAGCCCTCAATCGATTTCTTCTTAATTTTTGGCTGCAAGTTGATACCCTTGATATCCACCTTGTTGTAAGGGCTCTTGATGATATCCTTGGCTCTGCTGTTGATCACGCTCTTACGAAGTTTGTCATTTGAGCGAATAGACTGTGACGCCATGGAATTTGTGTCCATTTTATTTTTGATAATATAAATTACAATAATATATCCAAACATCGGGGTTTTGGGGTTTTGGGGTTTTGGGGTTTTGGGG